ACCCCAATGAATTGCGGTTTTCACACACCGCCCCGCTGCTTTGTGGGTCAGGCTTTGGCTAGCCGAAGGCTCCGGTTGTGGATTCCTCAAGAAACTTCACTTGTTTTTGCCTGGGCAACCTGGGAGTATTAGCCCATCTGCAAACCATGGAACATCTTTCTTTTTCATAAAGATTAGTGTTCAGTGATTTGTTTGACATGGCCTGAACCTAAGTTAAAACTGAGCAAACGAACTTTCGTTTTTGTTCTGTTACAGATATAAATCAGTGTTTCCATTTCGAATGGAACCAATTGATTTGTACGTGGAAATGGATTCTGACTGTAACGCTGTCGGATCGACTACTTGGGAATGTATGGGTCACCATGTCGTATTCTCCATCTACGGTCCGGACGAGGCCAAGGTTACCGAGGAGTTAACTCATCGTGCTTGCGTTACCATGACTGTTACTCCTCCATCTGGTCAACATACTCTAAGAGAATCGGAACTTGAATTATTCTTGATAAGCGTACTCGAGCGCCTGATTGACGTAAAAGAGTTTCCGCGAACAAAGGTAATCCCTTTTGTTGTTGTACTCGCTGAGCATATCTGGATTTGTATGTATGCTGTAGCCTCCTTTAAGCAACGTTCACAGGTTTCCTTTTATGCCACTAAGTGGTCAGTTCTAATAGTACTGAATAGAGTGGTGAATATGGCAGAATGTCTGTTGATACTAGCGTTTTGAATTTTGCTTTCAAGCGTTCTGTACCGTTTCGGGACAATCACGAGACTGCACCTTGACTTGGTGTGATGGCTTGTGCACCTCTATGACCCAACGAGCTACGCAGGATTGCTTTCACCGAGCCAAAGATCTAATCATGCCTGGAAGGTCAATGGGTAGAGGTCAGGCGAAGTCCAGTCTCCTGGTCCTCCAAGTTGGGGGTTCGACTTGAGTCGGCGTCTCAGTCGATAAAACGTGTTATTATCGACGATTATATTGGCTTGCAGAGGCTCATGAAATACCTTTGAGAACTCGTTAGTCGGAATCCCACCGGGGCCGTTGATGTTTCAGACCGTTCCTTTTCATTATCCAACTAACAACTTGATCTCATCAAGTAACCTAGCATTCGGGTATATATGTAGTCCATGGTTAATAACGTTAGACGGTCGTCTAAAGAACCGAAGGGGTATTGCGTAACCATATCCAGAAAACGAACAGGTAAACCAAAGAATGGAACCGGCATTTCAAGTGCGGTTTCAAGTATGATCGACCTTTATAAAGTCCCGATCGCTTCTAGGGCGTGTAAAAGAAACCTCGTTCTCTCAGAAGATACGCTCTCGTGAAGTACATCTGTTCAGTCATCTGGTGTGGCAGCCTTACTTTTTAGCTTCTCGTGATGGTCGATTTCATCAAAATGAGAGAATTAAAAGGTATACTGCTTGCGGTAACCAGATTGAGAAACAGCAGATAGTCTGTTCTTCTGAGCGAGTTAGAAAACCGTGATTTGAAACCTACCAGGAACGCATGTACGAGCCTAATCAAATGCATCCTGGTATCGACGAACATTCATTCGACAATACGCCCTATTTTGTACAACTGAATCTCGTACTACAGTTTCCTCATTAATCCGCTGCCTTGTGAGCCAGGCTTTGATTAGCCCAAACCCTAGAAAATTCACTTGTTTCGGTTCATGTAACCTGATATTGTCGGGCTGTCCCCATCCGTTTTTAAGAATGGAGGCTCAGCCTTGGTTTTGGAGTTAACAAAACTCCTGGGCTCAGTGTGGGAAAAGGAACAGGTTTCAACTGAGTGGTGTGAGTCGGTGATCATACCGATTTACAAGAAAGGTGATAGATCCTCCTGTGAAAACCACAGAGGAATTAGTTTAATCAATATTGCCTTTAAACTTCTCGCCGTGGATTGTCTGCCGCACGTGAACGGTGTACGCGTGAGAACCAGGCCGGTTTCAGACCTGGTCGAGGCTCTATTGACCACATCTTCACACTCCGTCAAATTCTAGAACATAGACACTCCATTCATAGACCCACCATTTTTATTTTCCTCGATCTAAAAGCGGCTATCGACTCAGTCGACCGCTCTAAACTCTGGCGCTGCCTTTCCTTGAAGAGAGTGCCCGAGAAGTTTATTTCAATATTACAATCCCTCTACAATAATAGCCGAGGCCGAGTTCGAGCTTACGGCACTTTTTCACCCGAGTTCACCACGGAAAGTGGTGTTCAATAGGGTTGCCTTCTCTCCTTTTCTATTTAACTTTTTCATAGATTTAATTCTTGAAA